ACTTTCATCCATCCGCCCCTCGAGTGTTAGTGCGGGGCTTTTCCTATTATCAGCCTTCTCGATCTGAAAAGTAAGAACAGAGAAGGGTTCGTGTGAGAACATGTACTGGACTGCCAAATTTCTTTTACTATTTAAGTAACCAACCTGTGCCATTACGAGCTGCAAACGGCCAGATAACTGCAATAAACAGCTCAGGGCTGCCACCTTTGACCTGGTAAGCTTAAGAAACACAAACGATGAAGTACTTAATACCTTTCAAAGTTTTTCAGTCTAACAATAGTGAGGTTTTGTCATCATGAACAAATAAGAAAATCTTCAACTACCAAGAGACAACTAATTATGGTAACAAATTCTTCAAAATAGTTGGAAAACAGGGGTTGATCTGGCCCGTTGTTCCAGAAGCCAGAGCTCAGTTGGAGATCCAATTCTTGGGGAAGTGACCAAAAAAATGTGACATTTATAAAGCATAATATCATGTTGGTGGGAGTTAGCACTCTATTTATTGTGGCAATGTGGCTCCATAGAAATGAACATGCCTACTCAGTACTCACAGACATTAGTGCCAGTACTTCATCAGAGGAATTTAAAAAACTTAAAGCCGAATAGGAAATTGAATGAACCTCAAGATATGTTAAAACTGATTTTAATTAGATATTGACTTCAGTTACCAAACTAATGAATATAACAGGTCCAAATGAAGTGGAATGGATTATTTATGTAGTCAACCCCAACTAATTTCGGATTAAGCTATCCACCAAATGATGTAATATTGTAAAATGACTTCCATTTCCCTTTGATTTTTTGGTCATTTTCAATCTTGTTCGGTGATCAAACTTCAATAAGCTTTCATGACTACTAATCTTCTTGTAGTCTTGTACAAAGCGAATTCTGTAGCAAACTTGACAAGTTTGGAAGGACAAATGTCACTGCCCACCCAATGAGTTCCCAGCTTAGCTACTCAAGGGCCACTACATTACACTTCAGATGTCCCCACTAACCACCCCTGTGGAGAAAGGAGGGAGCTTTTTAAGATGCTTGCAAGATTTTTGAAGACAAAGAGGAACATAGTTAGCCTTAAGCATGAATCTCTTTGCTCCTTTTTTGGTGTAACATGGCTAGAATCAATGTTAATGACGTAGACGCTATGATACATTCTATTAGTAATCTGCACAGCTTGTAATTGGATTGTACATGCCAACCAGCACTTTCTCCATGCTGGTTTTTCTGATATAATACTACTCTCCAATTACTTATTAAAAAAAAACGCAAGGATGAGTCTTCAACTTCGGTTACAAAATATAGGTAAAATAATCAATTTACAAAAGGCACTTTCTCCGTTAATCAATGGAGGGAATATGGTTCCTTGCACAAATATGCAGGTTTTGCCGTACTAAAATAAATGCAGTATCAAGAAAAAATGGCGCTCCATAAGGCAGTGTATTACATGGATTCTTTGTTTACAGACAGGTAACATGGGTGTGAGCATTTCCTTTTTCTTAAAATAATAGTGATATCTAGGCCAGCTTGTGGACTCACTATACCACAAGTTAGCTGCAACCAGTACAGGTATTGGCGAGTAACTTTACCCACCCAGTCTTCCGCAAATCGAAAGAAATTACCTAAGTAGGCGTTTGGACATGAATTGATCGATATTTGAAAAAAAGTTATATTTGAAATTAAGTTGAAAAGGGTATTTGGGAATTGAAGTTGTTTGGACATGAAAGCACAAATTGAAGTTATGTGGGTGAAAACTTGAAAAAAATCCTAAAGCCTGTTTTTCAAACTTACAAGTTCCATCTTTCAAGTTTGAAGTTGAAATAATGAGCCAGTTTAATGAACAAATACTTATTTGAAATAATCTCCAAATATCATTTCAAATTTTTGAAACCAAAGCTATCGACAAATATTATCTCAAGTCTTTATCTCAATTTGAACCTGGTCACCAAGGTTTGCACCCACTTCATTGATCAATATGTCACACACTTGTAAAACCCTGGTGACCAGGATCATGTTGTTCCTCATCTATACATCAATCCAACACTCATCTCAAATCATGTAACATATATGAGGAACACCATGATCACATCATCACAATTTTTACTACAGCCATGATCATAAGCAACCTCCTCTACACACACAATAACCAATATTCTTCGTATAAATGTGTGTGACACTACAATTTTTGGCATGGAACGGTCATCGGCATCCCGATGAAAGATTAGTTATTAGCTTTTTCCTTGACAGACTTTTTTCGTAACTTAGCATAGCTGTGAAACCTTCCTCCTCCATAACATACCATCTGGAAAACTGTGTCCCTTCGATATGTAACAGAATAACACTCATCACATTAAGTTGAGAAAACAAAAGGAAGTAATTTATCAAAAAGATCAATCAGAAAAAGAGTGCATAAACATACATGTAACTAATCAAAAAGATCAATCAGAAACAAGATTATAGAAAACACGAAACCATCAATAACTTGGCACTCCCAAAGTAATCCCATAATTGCCAAGCAACAGTAGTATAGTGGCAGCATATCCTACCTTGTTCAAAGAATCCAGAAGAGTCGGTGGTTCCTGCGATGTAACAAATTCATTGTGGTTCACCAATATACAGTATATCCATGGAAGAACATGTCTTCCCATGCTTGATCTACAAAAAAGAAAATACATGCAAAACGAAAAAAAGACTTATGATATGCATAAAGATTTAGCTATCAACTAAAAGGTTTCTCCAACTGGTGCAATGATTCGTTCTGCCAAATAAAGCAATAACTAGCCTATTTGAGAGTTAAAGGAGGGCAAATTCTGATATGAATTTCCAAATGTATCTCGAATTGGGGCCAATGATTAATTCTGCGACAATATGTTTAATGATGTTGATACAAAAAAAATTAGCTATTTTAGAGAGTTTCAGGAGGATGAAATTTTTCCAATATGAATTCCCAAATCCTAACCTAATCGAGAAATCCCCAGAGGGCAGGTGCTGTCGAAAGTCAGTGAATAATGGGCCTGCCCTTACCCTTCTTCACTTTACCAAGCTCCCTCTGCCCATTTTCACTAAAACACCTGGCTTTTATCAGCGCCGGGTTCGAACACGTGAGGTGTGCCTAACCTACACATCACATGTTGCCCGCTTACCACTAGATCAAAGCCCTGGGGTTATTTGTTGGTAGTATTTTCAAGTAGTTTCAAGATCTTTCAATTTAATCTCAAAAATTCAAATGACTAATGTCCAAGAACAATCTGTGGAATTAGCTTTCACATCCAAGAACTGAACCAGGCCATTATTTTAGGGACTTAACTCAAAATAGAGTACCAATTTTTGTAGTGCATTTCTTTTTTCCCCTTAAGTGGGAGGATGCAGTGCATCTCCACTCTTGAGGTACAATATGGAGTTGATACGTGCAATCTCCTTCAAGGATTTGAAGAGCCCACCTGGACTGCCATGCAGCCACCAAGGCATTCAATAAGTTGTAAGCATCAGGCGATTCCAAAGATAAAACAGCTGATTTCATCTGCGTTATACAGTTAAAACAAATTATTGAAGGTATGGTAACATAAAAAGTGAGGAAATCAGACCCAAAAGTATCCTCAGTATTCCAAGAGATACAGACCTTCTTCGGTGGCATACTAGCATCAACACTTATTCCTTTCAAAATCTTAGGATCAAGAATTGAGCTAGGCGAGAGATCATAGTCACTGCTAATTATACCTATGGATCTTAACTGGTCCTCCATGCAAATTGTCACCTCATCTTCACCTTGTTTACCAATGACATCTGTAAATAGTAAAGCAAAAGCTTCCACGTTAAGTAGTAAACATTTAGGTAACATATTTAATTTATTCTCGAGACAAAAGGATAAACATAAAAAAGTTAATTGAGACAATATTCTAACAGTCCATAAAACTCGGGATGAGAACTATAGTTGGCGACGAAAACTTCAGAGTTCTTCAAACAAAATCTCATCTGAGGTCACATAACTTACTCTTCACTAGTACTCCCTCTGTTTCAAAAAGATTGGCACATTCCTATATTTCCTTAATGGGAAGCTTCTATAGCCACACAAATGTTATGGCTTGTTTAAGACCACAAGTGTCAAAAGTTTTATAGCCAAAATGTTATGGCATATTTAAGACCACAAGTTTCAAAGTTTTCCTCTTTATTAAACTTTGTGCCAAGTCAAACTAAGACAAACAAATTGAAACGGAAGTAGTAGTAAAGCACTGATGAAAAGTGAACAAGTTCCTCTCGCACATTTGAGATGACAAATTAAATATTCAGTGCAAAAGCACTAGTCAGATCATGGATCACAAGTCTCAATATGACGATTAAACCGAATAAAGCAGGGATTTGAGAGCAGCAGAGAATCTCAAATGAGTGCTGTTTACTTCAACCTAGGAACAATTCTGGCACGGAGTAACCAGTTTTATCAGCAGTTCCAATCTATAAGATTCTTCCTCTTAGGGAATGGCAATGTGCCTTGAAATCAAGATGTGCAACCACAACAAGTTCGAAATACACACACACACACAAAAAGTGTGCCAAAAAAACCAAGATATCACAAAAATTGGTGCAATGTTAGGTGATACCTTTGCTCACTGTGGGCTTAATTCCATGCTCGACACCAACCTGATCAAGAATCTTAGGCAAAGGAAGTAAGGCACCCTCTGCATTTGCACAATCGAGAGCAGTAACTGTTCAATGCAACAAAAAAAAAAGATGTTAGGACAGACGTGTATCAAACATGCAAATTGATCATCGCATTTAATGATGGTACAGACCATGAAACAGGAAAAAGGGTTGTCTCAAATCATTGTGATTCTTAACCTTTAAAAGTGAAAACAAATAGCACTTTTTCCTTCCATCCTGAAGAAATAGATGGTCGAAAAGGTAAACGTATCGCAATTACCATTTATCAGCGTAACTCCATAACTGTCTCAGGAAAATTATGCTGAAACATCTCAAACATCACCTCATACTTATGCATATTAAACGAATGCCCTCTCTCTCAGGAAAATTATGCTGAAACATCTCATGCATCACCTCATACTTATGCATATTAAATGAACGCCAAAATCATACACAACTTGCAGCTTAAGGATTACACAAAGGAGGAGGAAAGATATTAAAAGTACATAATGGCACAGGACGACTGTCATCTCAAGCCTTTGGACAATTTTTCTTTTGTGATTAATAAGGCATAAGATTGTATTAGATGGGCGCTGAGAATACAAAAAGGGGCTAGAAACAAGAACGTGGTGCTGGATTGGACCTACTTTCATCCTAGAAATTTTCAAATAATAAAATTTAAACAGAGGATTCACAAGGATACATTGGGCTCTTCCACCTACTGGGCCATAGATTAGGAGGTCGAAATTCTCTAACAATCTGGAGAATAAGTTAATGTAGGGAGGAACATGTAGAAATTAGCCACGTGGAAAGAAATGAAAATGCATTAAAATTTGGGAGGGAATAGCAAATTTGCTGATATAAAGGAAGATTCCAGAAATATTTGCATCGCCATACCAAATCTGTCAATAGCAATCCATACCTATTTAACCCGGCAATTTGATTATCAAATACGGGGTTCAACAATTTTATGTTTTGACATAGAAATTAGATAAGACAGGGGAGGCAAGTGCAAAAGGAGGAGGAGAGAGTGTTACCCTGACTCTGAGTGTTAGATGCTTGTTTAGATTTGCGGGATTGACTGAAGGGTAGAAGGATCCCGTCAAGTGAACTTTTTAATCTCATATCCGCCCCAGGCTGCACCATAACTTTTTCAAATGATGGTTTTATTAACAAGCCATATGCAACAAACATATGACCGGAACCAGATGTGCCAATAGATTGCAATTTTGCCGAAAAAATACTATGCACGGCTTCTTTATGTTTCTTCAGAATTTCCTCATCTAAAGATGCGCATATTTTTGTGGGCTTCAAATTGTGCAATTCCTCAAAACTCTTTCCATGCCAAAAGTAGCAAACACCAATTTCTGAAATGGCCAAAACACCTAAACTTGCATCATTTTCAACTCCAGATTTAATGCAGTAACTATCCAAAAAGACAGCAGGGTGATCCATTGGAAGCAAGCAGCACACCGATTTCTTTTTGCTACCATCTAACTTCCAAACTGCTACGTGTCGGTCACCAACAGCAGAAGAAAGAACATGTCTCCCATCTTCAGAGAAAACCATACGCCGAACAGCCCCCTAATATAAAAAGGAGAAAAGAAATAAGGTGACTCACAAGGATGGTAACAGAAGTATTCTGCATTCTGTATTAACTTCACTTAATCACGATGCAAATGCATCAAAAGGGAAGCATATAAAAAATAAAATGAAATATGCATAACACTGACAGGGTGGCCTGAAAACTTCTGGAGCTTTTTGTCATCCAAGCAATTGAAAATTTTCAACTGAGAAGTTGCTGTTGCTAACATTTTCCCATCTGGTGACAGAAAGCCAAAAGAGGAACCAATATCAGCATAACCAAATTAAGCATAGAATGTTGGCTGATACAAGAAAACGACTACAGGAATGCTAACACGAGATAGGGGGGAAGGAGGACACAAATGGAGCAATGACATGTATCCAGAACATAGAGTGATCTAAATATGACACAAGAAGAATCTCGATAACTCTTAGCTCAGGGAATCTTGTATCATTGTTGCGAGTACTCCATTTTTCATTTAAAAAACGACAAGGGGTAAAAGATGCCACTCATTCAGCAACTCATCCAGATTGACTAAAACCGGGATAATTAAAATATAGCCATCATCAAAGACAATGAACATTTACAGATACAAACCTGACGAAACGGATAAAGATGATATTGCTTTAGTGGAAGCTTTAAACTTATGCAGTAAGTTCCCCGACATGGAGTCAATTTTGCAAACCAGTCCATCAGCACCAGCCGTGTAAATGAATGAACCATGTGAAGGGAATGAGATGGCATTGACACCGCTGCTCATTGACACACGAGTTTCAATAAAAGCAGGGGAGATATGTCATATCATAATCTTACTATATAATAAAAATTCCATACGTAAATATAAAACAATGCACCTTTGTGAACTGATGATAAATGTAAGAAGAGCAGAGACAAGCTTCAAGATGGAGATAGTACAAGTGGCCAGGCGGAGGCAGGAATTTCACTTAGGGGTGTAAAAATATAAAAAGGTAAATACACAAAGAAGTTAAGGGGATTCAATATATAGTATATATACATAAAATAATGTTTTGACCTAGCTACATAGTGTAATTTTCCGGTGAAGGGGTGTCAACTCCTTAACCTAAGGTGGCTCCACCACTGCAAGTGGCATGATCTACAGGTCATTACTACTTCTGAGAGTAACTTTTACCGAAAAGAGTTTCGCTTTACTTTTACAAATTTAGGATACAAAAGCACGGAGCAACTAATGACAACCGGAAAAAACAAGAGTAAAACATGGCAAAAAAAATATTTTCATCAGAAAATAGCAAGAACAAACAAAAATTCATCTAAAATCTCCCTTCTTCAAAGTTGGACATATGTGCCAGACATCAAATTCTGAGCCTCTATATTTATACTTGCCAAATTGCAATCTAAAAGCTATTCTACCTTTTCTTCATAATGTGCCCTACACCTCGAATTGAAGCGATCCTATGTCCAACACATAGTATGCAGAAGAACACATAAAAGAAAGCTATTTACCATTCTTTCTGCAAGTCAAGATAATATTAGTTATGAGTTACGCAAAGAACTCACCCAGGATGGCAATCAGTAAATCTCCATTTGAGATGACCTGCAGATACATCTAGAGCCAAAACATCACCACTGCCTGTACCTAAAACCAATAATGAAGTTCCAAGCTTCCTTTTTTTCTGAGCAACAAGTAAAATAGCTCTCATTAAAGGAGTTGAAGTTAGAGTAGAACTAAATACTCCCTCCGTTCCAATTTATGTGACAATTTATGTGACACGCTTTCTTCATTAGTCAGTGACATATTTCTATATTTGTAAACAATTTAACTTTAAACTTTTTATTTTATCCTAAATTAGAAGCTATTATAGCCACACAAATTAAAAGTCTTTACCATTAAGCTTTTAAGACCAAAAATTTTAAAAGTATTTATTTTTCCAAATCCGTGGCGAGTCAAACTAAATTGGAATGGAGGGAGTAATACATTTTCTTTTCTCAGTCAGGGAATTTCACCTTTCTGTCACATGATAACCACTTCATGCAAGTATAATCCATAGAAAGATGACCTCCTGGCTTAGTAAACAAGCTTGCTGTTGTCTCAGTTGACACAATATCTGCAAACTCCGTTTGTACCTGACCCTTCACTGTATCCCATATCTGAAAGTAAATGGTATACAGTGAAATAAAATTCCAATAAAATGTAAAATTTGCTTTAACATGATTAGAGGAGTATACCTTGATACGGCCATCACCAGAACTGATAGCAAAGAAGTCCAGAGAGGGACTCAAACAAGTCAAAATGTCCCTTATATTTGTTGTGCCCATTGCTGAAAGGGATGATCTGAAACGAAACTTAGGGTACAAACTCCAGCTGCTGGACGGTCGGTGACCAAGGGCGGCTCTAGGGTAAGGCAAGTGAAGCTTTTGCCAAGGACGGACGGTGATTATAGGAATATATGTAATTTATATTTATACAATTACTGATAAAATATTTTAAATTTGTTATGAAATAATAAACGGAGAACAATATTGCACAAAAAGAGATAGAATTGTTATTGATTTGGGATCATTTATAATGGAATAAAATTTCTTTATTTATAACGAAAAAGTGACTTAGCCACAAAGTAACAAACTCTAAAATCTCTAAAATATATACATTCACTTTAAATAGAATTTTATTACACTCCCCTTGAATGTCTATTCAACAAATAATGTGTCTCGTTAAAACGTTAACTAAAATAAAACTCAGTGGGACAAAATCTTGTAAGGGAAAAAGAGTACAACGCGTATTAACTCCCCTGATGAGAGCATCAATTCACATCTTTGAGTCTTCGCATTCCAATCTTGTGCACCATCTTCAAAAGATCGTTGGTACAGATTTGATAAACAAATCAGTCATATTAACTTGAACAAATTTGTTTCACCTTGAAATCATCATTCCTTATAGATATGTAATATCGTGGGATGGCCTTTTCAACATCTTCATAGGGGTAAAAATTTCTTGCTATCGCATTATCATGCTTATAACTAGCAAGATACAAATGTGCACAAATTGCACTTAGCGTGTAGTATTTCATGACCAAGAATTTTATATACTTTAAGCAATTTAAATCCTTCGTAAATTGTCATATAAGTCAAGTCATATAAGCTATATAAATAGACTTTAGATGCATATCAAGTTTTTATGTCATGCTAGACATATAAAATAGATAAAGGTGATTGCGCATACCATTGACTTTATACTTTCAAGTATTTGAACTACATAGCCAAAACTGCATGTCTTTCATATGAAACCAATTCTATTCGAATTGTGTCTCTTCCATTTGGCCAATATTTTGTGTCTGTAGCCGATAGATTTAAGATCTTCATCTATACTTAGCGTTATCATAGATGTCGTCGACGAATATTTTATATAGGTTCCAACCTCTATTTTTTTCATAAAGACATCACATAGAGATCTCTTCATTTATATTTTCAGGTACATGAACCTCTCTTGAGATTTTATGAAATATCATGTCATGTGATCTTCTAGATCACTTGCCTCCTTATTATGATCATTTTGATCATTTGCTCATCTTCTTTATCAAGAACTTTATTTGAAACTGATTGGTCTATACGCTTTGAGTGTACTATAGATTTTGTCCTTTGAGGACTTATTATAATAGGAGCATTTGCAGTGAGAATATAGTTACTTTATTTGGGTCAGCAAATGCGTCCGGCATGTTTTGTAATATATTGCAGATGAATTATCTTTTTATGAACTTCAAGTTCATATTATCTTATTAGAGGATCTAGATGTAGAAATGATAATTAATTCCACATAATTTTTTCTTAAATGTTTATCATCTCTCCCCCTCATGTTAGAAAAACTAACTTGCTTTCTCAACGTTGGGAACTAGGGGTGGGCATAAAATCCGAAAAATCGAATTTCGAACCGAACCGAATTAATTTGGTATTTCGGTTTCGGTTTTTTTGGTATTTCGGTATACTTCGGTACAAAAATTTTGATATTTCGGTACGGTATTCGGTATTGAATTTTTGATATTTCGGTATACCGAAATACTGAAATATTTAAGTCCAAGCCCACCTATATTTCTATTTTCCAGCCCAATAAGCCTAAGTCCAACACCCCAAGTCCCCTAAATCCTAATTTCCTAATCCCTTAGCGGGCCTAGCAACCTCCTTAGGCTTAGAGACTTACGGACAGTAGTTTGAGAATTTAAAGAATCACTGTTTTGGGGGAATATACACCATCAATTCCATTTCTCTTCTCTGATTTGGCAATCAAAACAGTGTCACCGAACTAATTATTCTTGAAACAATGGCTTTGAGTTTTCCTTTGAGTGGTTGAATTCTCAGCAGAAGTCATAAGATATGTTAGGCAATAGGCAATTAGATATAGCATAATCTTGGGAGATTTAAAAGATTTTGGTATAATACCGAAATCATACCGAAACTGTACCGAACCAAATAAGAAAATATCGAACCGTATCGAAGTACTTTGATACGATATTTGGTATGCACAATTGATATACCGAAATACCGAACCGTAATTATTAAATACCGTACCGAAATATCGAACGCCCACCTCTATTGGCAACTCATCTTTGTGTGTTATGGTATTAATCAAAATATACATCGCACATCAATAATAATAAGATAGAATTATTTGGTTCCTGACCTTGAACCAGTTGTGAGGGGAGAATGAAATATACTTTCGTATATAACGCATATCAGACTGATATCGATAACTTTGTTCTTATAAGTAATAGTTTAACTATTAAGTAAAGGCAGGCAATAAATCGTTTTGCTAAACCAACTATGATGTAAACCAACTTATCAAAATGAACTTTCTTGAATAGAAAATCTGGAAATTATGCTCTAAATTAAATTATTGAGCAAAAAACCTAGCATTCAAGTTGCGGATTGATAATAAACGCACATGTAACCATCATAGATGCATCTTTATAAGGTTTACATGGCAGGTGAATGGCCCATATTCACCTTTGATAAATTTTAAAATTCAAGGGATTCAATTTCAATTTTAGTTTGTATAATAATTGCGAGAACAAGTAACATATGAGAATTCATGAAGAATCTTTTTCAACACTTACCCATGTGAATTCTCATTTATTTTGCACATCATGCTTAAATCAAGATTGCTCAATAGGCCATGCTTGATAAAATTGTCTGTATCAGTAAACTTCAGGTTTACATTATGACATGTGCAATTATTAATTAAACTCCTAGTTTACTATGACATGGGTATTTTATATCAATAAATATCTAGTTTACTGTGTCATATAATTTCACCATATTTTTATTTATGTAGTACAAATCATGCAATAAAGCGGGTAATATATATATATATATATATATATATATATATTACCCTGCTATAGTTGTAGTAATATAAAGATATTAAATATTTTCATTATTTATAGTGTAAAGGCTCTCTTTTATTTTCAGGATGGAACCTTTGCTCAGGACCACAGGACGAGATAGGGTCCCGTTGAATTATACCTACCTGGTAAACCTCGCCACAACGGTCGTTTTATACCTCTCGAACACATGGATGCCAAGCTCCTTTTCATTCAGATTTTAGGACTCCTAGTTCTAACTTCAATCTTGGAGAAAGGTGAGTGGGCTAGGATCGGGCTATTGGATCGAGCAAGGTTAGGAAGGGAGGCAAGACGAAAGGCATGCACTGGGTACCGCCGAAACGAATAGCTAACATAGTTATCCCGGTGATTTTGCCCGAAGAGTTTAGGGTAGAGTCTGATTATGCTCCTCCAACAGTTCATGCCAAACGTTGTACTTCACAAAAGCTTTAGAAATGCCAGACAAATTATAAGCCTAGCTACAAACTAGATAAAATATGAGTAAGAGACTTAAATATAAATGTAAATTTTGTATTAGGATTAAGTTTTATATCACATAATAATGGTAGTTGTTTACTTAGCAGAGATGGTGTAATATGTTTCAAAAATATTACCCATACACCAGTACAAATAATAAACACTGGAACTAAGATAAGAACACGACTAAAATTAGACTAGAAAAATCTACAAGAAGAACAAAAAGAGTGTTACAAAGAATGTAAAGATAGAAATACTTGTTGTAAGATAAAGGAAGAATCGAAAGATCTACTATTAGATGACAAGCAAGATATAAATCCACTATTAGATGATAAGCAAGATATACTAGAAAAGGATTATACTTTAATAGATGTTGAAACAGAGTTATATAATTTTAGAACATGAATAGAAAATATAGGAATAATAAAAAATCAAAAAGATTTAGATAACATAATAAAAATATTAGATGAAATAGAAGTAATAGGAGAGAAGCCTTTAAAACATTGGAAAAATAATAAGATTATGTGTAAATTAGACATAATAAACCCAAAATACATAATCAAAACAGCCACAATAGAAGCCATAAATCAAGATTTAAAAGACTTTAAGATCCAAATTAAAGAACTTATAAATTTAGGCGTGATAAGGAGATCTACATCTAAACATAGGCCAGCTGCCTTCATGGTAAGAAATCACAGTGAAATAATAAGAGGAAAAGCAAGAATGGTAATAAATTATAAAAGACTTAATGATAATACTAAAACGGAAGATAAAATAGAATTGATAAATAGAATACAAGGAAAAAAAAAAAATATTTAGTAAATTTGATTGTAAATCAGGCTATTGACAAGTAAAAATGCATGAAGAAAGTATAGAATGGACAACCTTCACTTGTCCCGAATGACATTTTGAATGGTTAGTTATGCCATTTGGACTAAAGACAACTCCATCTATTTTTCAGAGAAAAATGGATAGTATATTTGGAGAATACAAAAGATTTGTCTTAGTATAAGTAGATGACATATTAGTATTTAGTAAAGATATAAAAGAACATCTAGGACATCTACAAACAGTTTTTCAATTATTTGTAGATAACGAAATAATAATTAGTAAAAAGAAGATGGAATTATGTAAAAGTTACATAAATTACCTAGGAGTAGTTTTAGGAGATCGAAAAATTAAATTACAACCTCATATAGCTAAAAAGAAAAAAGCTTTAGAAGTGCCACACAAATTAGATAATACTAAAAAATTACAAAAATTTATAGGAATAGTAAATTACGCAAGAAGTTTCATAAAAGACCTAGGCAAAATAACAGAACCTCTATATGCTAAGACAGGTTCTACAGGACAAAAATATTTCAATACAGAAGATATAAAATTAGTCCAGAAAATAAAAGAAAAAGAAAAAACATTCATGATTTAAACATGCCCTTATAATGAGACTATTTAATCATAGAAACAGATGGAAGCTTTGAAGGATGGGGAGCAGTATTAAAAGCAAAGCCCAATAAATATAGGGATAAAAATGAAGAGAAAATATGTGCTTATCAAAGCGGTAAATATAAGAAAAAAGGAAATA